TTGGTTGAACTTTTCTTTTGGACACTTAATATATATGAACTTTATGTCTAGGTAGCGCTCTGAGTTCTTGTTTTTGATTCATCCAAATCAGATAAAAAAAAAAAAAAATAAAATAAAAATCACACACGTCTAGGAGGCTGCCAAGAAGCCTACAGCAACCTTTAACCACTTGCCTACCGGGCACTTATACCCCCTTCCTGCCCAGGCCAATTTTCAGCTCAGTCACACTTTGAATGACAATTGTGTGGTCATGCAACACTGCACCCATATGAAAAATGTATCTTTTTTCACACAAATAGAGCTTTCTTTTGGTGGTATATTGATTTGCCGCTGGGCGTTTTATTTTTTGCGCTATAAACAAAAAGAGCAAAAAAAAAAAAAAAAAGTTTTTCTTTGTTTCTATTATAGAATTCTGCAAACAGATAATTTTTCTCCTTCACTGATGTACTTTGATGAGGCTACACTGATGGGCACTGATAGACGGCACTGCTGGGCAGCACTGATCAACGGTGCCGATCCGTCCAATTGCTGGTATCGGCAGTACGTTTCTCTCCATAGGACACAGCTATCACGAATATCGCTGGGGGGGCGCCCCCGGGGGGCATGCGGGAGGGCGTGTTCTGGGAGGATGTCATATGACGCCCTCACAGAACTGGACAACCACGCTGTAGCCGTCGCTCGGCTATAGCACGGTTGGCAAGTGGTTAAGGAACTGCAGGCATTTCTGGCAAGTACTGGTTATGCACTACATGTGACAATCTCCAGCGTATTCTTCATATGTCTAGGCTGTGAGGTAAGGTGGCAAGATGGAAGTCTTTTATTACTAAGAAAATCATACAAGTCCTGGAACATTTTGCAAAAATGTATATGAAGTCTGCCAAGAACATGTGGGAGAATATGTTATGGTCTGATGAGACCAAGATTGAACCTTTTGGCCGCAATTCCAAAAAAAAAAAAATGCAGGTTTGGCGCATCACCAAAAATATATCATATCCATAGTGAAGTATGGGGGTGGCAGCATTATGCTTTGGGTCTGTTTTTATTCAGCTGGGACTTCAGTCAAGGTGGAGGGACTTATGAACAGTTTTGCATATCAGTCAACTTCGGCACCTTCAGGCCTCTGCTAAAAAAGCTGAAGATGAGGAGGAACAACTTCACCTTTCAGCAGGGGATCAACCCAAAGCATATATCCAAATCAACAAAACAATAGCTTCGCCAGAAGACTATAACCGTTTTGGAATGGTCCAGCCAGAGCCTGGACCTGAATCCAAGTGAAAACCTGGGTGGGTGACCAGAAGAGGGTTGTGCATAGGAGATGCCCTCACAATCTGACAGATCTGGAGCACTTTTGCAAGGAAGAGTGGGCATAGATTCCCAAGGCAAGATGTGTCATGCTGATAAACTCCTACCCCAAAAGACTGAATGCCGTCATAAAATCAAAAGGCACGTCAAAAAGTATTCATTTAACTGTGTGTATATAGTGCCTTGGAAAAAAAAAAAAAAAAAAGTATTCATACCTCTTCTCCACAACTTTATTGCTGACCTGTCTGGTGTGTTCCTTGGCCTTCATGATGCTGTTTGTTCACTAATGTTCTCTAACAAACCTCTGAGGGCATCACAGAACAGCTGTTTTTATACTGAGATTGAATTACACACAGGTGGACTTGATTTACTAATTAGGTGACGTCTGAAGGTAACTGGTTCCACCAGATTTTAGTTAGGGGTATCAGAGTAAAGGGGGCTGAATACAAAACGCACTCCATACTTTTCAGATTTGTAAAAAATTCTGAAAAACATTTATCATTTTCCTTCCACTTCAAAATTATGTACCACTTTGTGTTGGTCTATCACATGAAATGCATTTACGTTTTTGGTTGTAACATGAAAAAAATGAACAAAGTATTCATACCCCTTGAAATCTTCCAAGGCACTGTATTTATGCAACCACATAATTGTAAGTGTTTTTGTCCCTCCTCCCCCTTTAAAGACTTCAGTTTGTTTTTAATTGAATTGTAGAGATTATATATCACATTAAAAAAAGGTGGAAAAAAAAAAAAAAAAAAAAAAAACAGATTTATCTGGGTCTGATTCTTGTACATCTTGAAAATCTAACATTTTTATAGGGGTATGTAGACGTATGTCCATTATATGATCAATGCTGCAGACAAGAAATAATGCATGCAATTGAGGATTCATCATATACTTATAAAATGATCTAATTAATTGCCAGCACCACCCAAAACTGGTATTGGCTGGTAATTCATTATAGCGCTAGACTCCAATGGTTAGATTTTCCTTAAGAATTCAGCCCCCAGTTCTGGTATTGAGGAAGAAGTGTACGTTTACAAATATTGCATAACAGTCCAAGAAGGGTGTTGTCCACACTTCCTCCATTAAAGGCAACCCATAAGGGACAGCTGTTGCTCACAATTTGCATTAGAGGCACTCACTGCACGACTCCTGGATTTATTGCTACTTACAGGGTAGATGCAAATGGAGGCTCAAACAGCCAAAATAAAAGCAGATGATAGTTGCCCAGAAAACACAAGCAGCGATAACAGAATGAGTGAAACAGATTTTGTCTTCTAACATGCTATGCACTTCTACTTTACTGTAATACTAAGAGGTTCCAAACCAATGGCAAACAGGGAACTGGGTCCCAATAAAGATTACAATGGTATACGAACAAATAAAGTGTCATACAAAAAACGAGAATTGATATATATTCTGCATCCAGGACATGTGTTCTGGTTCCTGCATCCAACCGAGTTGCACGTCAAACTTTGGCATGCGTGCAGGAGCAGATGCAAGGATCTGAAACACAAGCAGTGTGCGTTCAGATCCGTGCACCCGCTTCTGTACGCATGTCTAATTTTGGCATGTGCCTGTGTCCGTACAACCGCTGCTTCTGCGCCCATCTCTATAGGTTGCTTGCACACAGCATGGGGCGGATGCAGGCGCAATAACAAGTGTGGCCTGCGCACAGAGCGGGTGTGAATGCCTGTTTGAATGAAGACTTAAAGTGAATCCATGTTTTGCCATGCAGGGCAAAAACAAACATCTTTCCTTACATGTTACATGTGACAACACCAGGCAAATAGAAGAAAGAAAAACCCATTTTAAAAAACACCTTTATATTTTCAGTAATTTGTATGATCACCACCACACACACAGAGCAGAACGAGTACAAAAGCAGTGGCATGAACAGACTATGCCCAACAAAGTGGGCGCAGAAACACACAAAGCATACTGTGCAGCAGCACATACCATACCCAGTGCAAGAGTGCACAGCAAAAATCAGTGCAGCAACAGCATACCACAATACCCACACAGTGGATACAGCAACAACCCCAATGCTGTGCACAGCATCAGAGACCACAGAAGGATAGCACAGAATGCTCCTTAATACAAAACACACACTATCATCCACCAGAAAACAGCCATACCCAGCACAGTGGTTGCTGCAAAGCACAATCTCTCTCTCCCCCTCTCCCCCCCTCTCTCCATCATCATCATAAGGAGCCTCTACCCCCCTCATTTATAAGCCCCTTATGCAGCTGAGAACAGAGATTCCATGATTACTTGTAAATATTGTAAATTACTTGAAATAAACATTTATCATTTTTTAATCCATTTTAAACTGAATAGGTTGTTTTACAAAGTTGGATTCATATATATTTTAACCACTTGTCATCCAGAAGGTTTTACTCCTTTCATGATTGGGGCATTTTTTTTTTGCTATTCAGCACTACGCTACTTTAACTGGCAACTGCTCGGTGATTCAACACTGTACCCAAAATAACATTTATAGAATGTTTTCACACACAGAGAGCTTTCTTTTGGTGGTATTTGATCACCACTGAGTTTATTTTTTATTACATAAATGGAAAAAAAAAAAAAAAAAATTATATATATATATATATATATATATATATATATATATATATATATATATATATATATATATATATAATAATCTATAAAACATCCAATAAAAAAAAATTATAAAAATAAAATTTTTCATAAACTGAGGTCAAAAAAGTATTTTGCTACCACGTCTGGTTAAAAAAATAAAAATTCCCAATAAGTATAGATTGATTTTTGTGAAAGTTATAGCATCTACAAACTATGGTATATAGACAGGAATTTACGCAGCCTGGACGCTATACTGATAATGGTGGTGATCAGCGACTTCTAATGGGACTGTGGCAGGGTAGCTGACGCTGGTACACCGACATCAATAGTGATCATTGCCAATACTGTACACCTTACTTGACACTGGCTGGGAAGGGGGTAACATCAAGCTGCAAATGGTTAACTGTGTGCCTAACAAATTCTGCTTTTACATACATATCTGGCAGCCAGATTGCTTATCTGTGTGAAGAGCCCTGTGTGCTTGTAAAACACAGGGCACTGTGGTGTGACAGCCAACCAGCAGATCTCAGCTATAAATCATTGGCCGGGCCCTGCTGACAAAATCCAGCTGTAGTGTGACAGCGGGGGTTAGCACCGGGTGCGCCTGTGCTCTCCTGACCCAGAATAGGCTAGATGGCATACATGTTCCTGTTCCTGCCGGCTCGTGCCCCCTGTTCGCAGTAAATATACTGTGGGCAGGAGGAAAGCAGTAAAATGTGGTGTCCGCAAGTTTAAGATTTTTTTATTTCCCTTTTATTTCACCTGGGGATCTGGCAAGTAACACTTTTCTACTCTGGATGGAGGAGCAACAGAGACCCCTTTGGACAGCAGCTTTGTCAACCTGAGGGAGGATAGTTTTGCAGCCCTGGCCAAAAATTGAGAATGACAAATATTCAATTTTCAGAGTCTGCTGCTTCAGTGTTTTTTCTACCGTATTTTTCGCCGTATAAGACGCACTTTTTCTTCCCCAAAACTGGGGGGAAATGTCAGTGCGTCTTATAAGGCGAATATGGAGTGGCCGGTCCGGTATTTCCACCGCGGCCGTGTCAGAATACCGGGCCAGCCGCTCAGCTCTGCAGCGGGACCTTACCTGTTCCTCTATCCAGCGGCGTGCTGTCTTCCCGGCTTCTGTAGTGTGGGCACTGGGCATGACAGCCGGGTGCCAAGTGCACATGTGCAAGAAGCGGTGCTTTTTGTGAATGGTAAGGCGGTACCTGGGACACATGACAGATCCCAGAAGCCGCCGGACCAATCACAAAGCGCAAGTGCTTCTCGCTCATGCGCACTGGGCACCCGGCTGTCATGCCGAGCGCCATTACAGAAGTCGGGAAGACAGCGCGTGGCTGGATCGAGGAACAGGTAAGATCAAAGAACAACTCTGCGGAAGTAAGAGCGGGTACCTGTCAAATTCAGGTACCTCACCCCACCTCCCCAAAGGTCAGCAGTCATCTGTGCTGTCCGCAGTCTCTGGTCATCCCTGTGCTGTCCGCAGTCTCTGGTCATGTGCCCTGTGCGGTCCGCAGTCTCTGGTCATCCCTGTGCGGTCCGCAGTCTCTGGTCATCCCTGTGCGGTCCGCAGTCTCTGGTCATCCCTGTGCTGTCCGCAGTCTCTGGTCATCCCTGTGCTGTCCGCAGTCTCTGGTCATCCCTGTGCTGTCCGCAGTCTCTGGTCATCCCTGTGCTGTCCGCAGTCTCTGGTCATCCCTGTGCTGTCCGCAGTCTCTGGTCATCCCTGTGCTGTCCGCAGTCTCTGGTCATCCCTGTGCTGTCCGCAGTCTCTGGTCATCCCTGTGCTGTCCGCAGTCTCTGGTCATCCCTGTGCTGTCCGCAGTCTCTGGTCATCCCTGTGCTGTCCGCAGTCTCTGGTCATCCCTGTGCTGTCCGCAGTCTCTGGTCATCCCTGTGCTGTCCGCAGTCTCTGGTCATCCCTGTGCTGTCCGCAGTCTCTGGTCATCCCTGTGCTGTCCGCAGTCTCTGGTCATCCCTGTGCTGTCCGCAGTCTCTGGTCATCCCTGTGCTGTCCGCAGTCTCTGGTCATCCCTGTGCTGTCCGCAGTCTCTGGTCATCCCTGTGCTGTCCGCAGTCTCTGGTCATCCCTGTGCTGTCCGCAGTCTCTGGTCATCTCCTGTACTGTGTCTGCAGTCCATTAGTTCAGAATTTTTTTTTTTCCTGTTTTCTGCCTCTAAAACCTAGGTGCGTCTTATGGTCAGGTGCGTCTTATATGGCGAAAAATTCAGTATTTGTCAGATGTTACTATGGTAAAGTATAATTACAAGCATTTCAGAAGAGTGAAAGGCTTTCATTGACAATTACATTAAGTTTATGCAAAGAGTCAATATTTGCAGTGTTGACCTTTCTTTTTCAAGACCTCTGCAATTCACCCTGGAATGCTGTCAATCAACTTCTGGGCCACATCCTGACTGATGGCGACCACAAGTTCTCACTGGGATTAAGGTCTGAGGAGTTTCCTGGCCATGGACCCAAAATGTTGATGTTTTGTTCCCCAAGCCAGTTTATTCTGACTTTTCCTTTATAGCAAGGTGTTCCATCATGCTGGAAAAGGCATTGTTCATCACCAAACTGTTTTTGGATGGTTGGGAGAAGTTGCTCTCAGTTTTTGTACCATTCAGGGTTGTGTTCTTAATCAAAATTGTGAGTGAGCCCACTCCCTTGGCTGAGAAGCAACCTCACACATGAATGGTCTCAGGATGCTTTACTGTTGGCATGACACAGGACTGATGGTAGTGCCCACCCTTTCTTCTCTGGACAAGGTTTTTTTCCAGATGCCCCAAACAATCGGAAAGGGGATTCATCAGATAAAATGACTTTACCCCAGTCCTCAGCAGTCCAATCCCTGTACCTTTTGCAGAATATCAGTCTGTCCCTGATGTTTTTTCTGGAGAGAAGTGGCTTCTTTGCTGCCCTTCTTGACACCAGGCCATCCTCCAAAAGTCTTCGCCTCATTGTGTGTGCAGATGGACTCACACCTGCCTGCTGACATTCCAGAGCAAGCTCTGCACTGGTGGTGCCCCTATCCCGCAGATGAATAAAATTTAACAGATGGTACTGTCACTTGCTAGACTTTATTGGGCGCCCTGAAGTCTTCTTAACAATTGAACCTCTCTCCTTGAAGTTCTTGATCCAATAAATGGTTGATTTAGGTGCAATCTTAATAGCAGGAATATCTTTGCCTGTGAATCCCTTTTTGTGCAAAGCAATGATGACCGCATGTGTTTCCTTTCAGGTAACCATGGTTAACAGAGATAGAACAATGATTTCAAGCACCACTCTCCTTTTAAAGCTTTTTTTTTTGGGGGGGGGGGGGGGGTTATTTTCATAGCAAAGAGGGACTTTGCAATTAATTGCAAATCATGTGATCACTCTTCATAACATTCTGGAGTATAAGCAAATTGCCATCATAAAAACAGAGGCAGCAGACTTCATGAAAATTAATGTGTGTCATTTTCAAAACTTTTGAACAGGGCTGTATACTAGCAGATTTAGATAGACTTGACCAACAAATCAAAGCTGACCTCCAGCTAACATTTTATAGGCAGTTACAGCAAACAGTCGATTTCAATTTTAGATAAAAGGTTTACATAACTGAATAAAAGCTGACCATTGCAAGCACCCCCTTCAGTGGATAAAGGTTTGTTTCAACTGCGAAGAGAGCTTGTAATGCAGACAACACGGCCTGCTTGTGATTTCAGTTCAGCACCTAGAAAAGGACAATGGCACAGCATTTCTGGAAAGAACAAAAAAATGAGAACCAATACAGACGACACATCTAAAGGACTGGTAAGCTGCAATATTACATTTTTGATCTTGGGTTTAAATGTCCTTTAAAAACATGCTGCTATGCAAAAGTAAGATTTCAAATCCAGTTTAAAAATGTATTGACTGAACATTTGCAACTTTTTATACCCCTAGAGGTACTGCAGCTCATCACACTTAAGTAAACGGGATTTTATTTGTGAATATTCCACTTTTCTTTATGTACATTTCTGTTTACCAATAACCACAGAATGAAAATAGGTAGCGCAAATAAAAATAAAGACTACATCAAACAGACCAATGAAAAGAAGATTTCAGGTTCAAGCCATTCGTAAGCTAGTATAAAGCCAAATAAAGTTCAGGTCACAGCTTCTATTTTCATCGAGCGATTCAAATTAACACAATAAGTGTGATTTCTGTCCTAAGTGAAAAATTCAGCTCCATGCATTGACACAACACACATTCATGAATGTTTCCACTTTCTTACCCAGTCAGTGCCATAAGCCTTAGATACCCAGGCATGTTTTCATCATTACTGCTGCTGTTCTTTTTCATTTATTGTATGCATTAAGCGCCTATTTTTGGCTATGCTGATTTTTTTTCTGCATTCATACTTTTGCAGTGGTGGTAAACTCTAGGGGGAAGAAAAAAAAAAAAAAATTTCCCCTGCAAGACAAAGGCATAATGCACCACATACTAGCACATTATGTGAAACTTACCTTAAAACTAAGCCCTCCAGCGGTGTGCTGTCACCACTGTCAGAGCTTCCATTTTCATTGGGCCCCTCTTCTGGGTTTGTTCGCTCTGGCGGCTTGACTGGCCAAGCCGCGATGACATCACTTCTAAACATGCGCGCGGGATTCACGTTTTACGGCACACAGCTCTGAAGGAGTGGCACGGGCATGCCGTTTCTTCAGAGCGCATGAGCTAGTGCTCTTCACAGGTAAATATCTTCTAAACGGTGCACAGTTGGATGATATTTGCAGTACCTAAAAGGTAAGCTTTATTATAGGCGTACATGTTAGTACAAGAAAAAAAAAAAAAAAAAAACCCACACACACCTCAATATAAATTTTTTTTTTGTTCTTCTACCTTTTTAGTCTGTTTATTTGGACCAGGTTATACATAGGACACCATAGGCATTCTGAGGTACTTAAAAGTGGAAATAGCGGACAGACTCATAACAGGTTTTTTTTTTGCATTAAAGTTGTTCTAAAGTCGTAATGCATTCCCCGCATTCAAGTAGAGCTATAGGCCAAACTTTTTTTTTTGGTTAGGATAGAGTAAGGGAGGGTTATAATCCATGTAAGATTTATTTTTGCCATCTTTGTCCCATTGGGTAGATTTACCTTCACTTCCTGTTCCACAGGAAGTGAGAGGAAATCCCTGCAAATTAAGGGAATTCCTTGGAGACCCCAAGTCATCGGAACCAGTGTCCCCATTGGAAGATTTGCCCCCTATTACTTTTCTGGGGACAACCGAAAACCTGGTATTTTATTTTACTTTCAATAATTGTAAACAGGACAAATAGAGAATATGAAATCTCCCTAACAGGGACACAGAGAGCAATAAAAACTGACAGGTGTTCTAATCCCTCTGCACTCTATCCAACACTAAACAAAAAAAAAAAAAAAAATACATTTGCCTTTAGTTATACTTTAACCCATTCCCCGGACCGCCCTATAGCAGAAATACCGCTACAGGGCGGCACGGGTGCTCAAAAATCACACACATATATACATAACACCATTTTGCATTTCTGGGTAGGGGGCGCGTGCACCCTACCCACCATTCGCGACTGTAAATCACCACCCAGTAATTACTCGCCAACGCCCGATGATCTCCGATGGGGAAGAAGACCCATGTTTTGTTTACCAACAGTCCTCCTCCCAGTCAGCTCGGGCACCACCCCCCCCCCTGCACTCGCTTTGGGTGCTGTTGTGTGTACAGTGACGCACAACATTCCCGCCCCCTAGTAAACCACTTCCTTGCTGCTTTGGATGGCAGTGTGAGTACAGTGACGCACACACATCCCGCCCCCTAGTAAACACTTCCTGCACACAGTTAACCCTTTGATCACCCCTCATGTTAACCCCTTCCTGCCCAGTGTCAGTGCTTTTTTTTTTTTTTTTTTAGCAATTATCACTGTATTGGTGTCACTGGGGACGTCAGTGACACTAAGCCAGTTAACACCCCCCTCCCCCGTGTCAGAATATCCGTCGCAGTCCTGCTATAAGTCGCTGATCACCACGATTACTAGCAAAAAGAAAAAAAAAATCCCAGTATGTATACACCACCATTTGTAATCAGTACAACTTTCACATAAACCAATTAATTTACATGTATTGTGATTTTTTTTTAGCAAATACATGTAGCAGAATACATTTTGGTGTAATTTATGATCATTTTTAATTTTTTTTTTACTGGATGTGTTTAATAGCAAAAAGTCAAAAATGTTTCTCAAAATTGTTGTTTTTTTTTATAACAAAAACGCACAGGCGATCAAATACCAACAAAAGAAAGCTCAAATCGTGGAAAAAGAAAAAGGATGTAAATTTCATTTGGGTACAGCGTTGCAAGACCGCGCA